AGATATAGAGGATGTCAATAGAAACCAACCAAATTTTCTAATAAATTTGCTTGGTTTCTGTTGACATCTCCTATATATTATTATAATAATAACAATAAAATATCAAAATTCAAGAAAATTTTTTAAAAAACTTACTTTTATTTTTTGTGATAAAATTTAAAATTATAAAGTTTATATATACTTAGTTTTGATTAAGTTTGATGAAAAAATCTTTATTGATTTTTTGTACACTCGTTAATTTTATATAGCTAAATAATTTACTATTCGCATATATATAGCTTAATTATAGAAGTAATAAGAAATAATATAAAAAAATACTAAATAAACAGATAAATAATATATGAGAGAGATCTGAATGAACTTATTTGAGTAGAGACTGGACTGTGCAAACTCGTGACTCTCGAGTTAAATTCTGAAGAGTTTCGAATTAACTCGAATCATTATTTTTCGAATCATTTTCCTATTCCAAAATTTTTAATTTAAAATACAAACATAATTTTTTTAAACCCCTTTGAAATACGCTAATTTTGAAACCTCTAATATTGCTATACAGTTGTTATATTAGTAATTTAACTCACGAGTAACTCGCGTTTCGAATTTATAATTCGAATCGTGATAAACTCGAATTATTCGAGTCACGAGTTGACGAGTCTAGTCACTAACTTAGTAGAGTAGATGATATTACGTTATGATCAGTGTTGGGCAAATTAGTAAAAATTTGAATTGGTCAAATTAGTCAAACTGGTCAAATTGGTCAAGTCTATTTTAAATATAATATATTTTGACTGGACTGGTCAAATGGTCAAACCGGTCTGGTCAAGCCAACACTGGTTATGATGTGAAATATCAAGTGATTTACAAAGATACGCGAGTAAATATTACATCTATTAGCATACTATTTAAAGTAAGAACCCAATCTCGGCCTATTCCGATAGAAGTTAATCATCTCTTCGTTCTCACGATAAAAAAAAGAAAGACTATCGCTATACTAACTGTTATTATTTACTTCGTGAACAATAACATATCTGATAATATTGTGACTCACTTTTACATAATGATAAATCTGTATTAAATTGCTCAATTAAGAGCGCACAGAACAGCAGAAACTCGTTGAATAAACAGTTATACGTCCATACGCGAAGGATATAATTAATATGATAAAATCTATATACTTGATAATGCTCTTTAAATTATCGATTTAGCGAAGTTTTAGTTTTTGTAATAGCAAAAGTAAAATCATCCTTATTGCTTATCTTACGATTTACTACGCAGCTTTGTCAATACTAATCTTGATTATTGTATAATATTAATGTAATCAAACGTAATTAAACGAAAATTCACACGATTAGCTAATACTATATATAAATTTTTACAGTAAAAGACTAATTGAATTAATAATCCGCATTTTTCCGTTACAGTACTTATTTTAATAACTTATACTTTAGAAGCATAATTGAACAAAAGCCTATTGTGTGGTGTATTTATTGACACGAGGATAACATGGATAACATGGAGGTATTATGCTATGATGTAATGTCAGAGTAAAAGCATTTATTTTATAAAGTAGCAATAGTAATAATAGTTTCTTTCATTAAGTCTATTAAATCCTAACAAAAATATCGCTAAAAATATTATAGATATAACTCGCATGACTCAAGTAATGACTAGAACTATACTGCATGTCTTCTCTGTTCATGACTATTAGATTTCTACGTATAATCGTCATTTATCTGTTATGACAAAGTTACGTAATGATGATCGTAAGATGATGGTTCATATGTTGTCTGGCCAATCAAAATGTCACAAGATCTGCACGACGAACAAAAAAAAGAAATAGAAACTGATGTCTAAACCTATTTCGGGAATTAAATAGCGAGCGTCAAACAAAATTTATTTCTTTATATAATGATTATTTCGTTTTCGAAACAAAATGAACGGATTTTATTTAGATTTGTTTTTAATTTTATATTTCTACTTCCACCTATATCTATAGATACCTATGTGCTTACTTTTCTTTTTTTTTTCTCAAGGTATAATCTACTTGAATACGAAAACGAGTGCGTAGGATTTTTTTTTTTTGGTTCGCTTTTTTTTTTTTTTTTTGAATGACGATATTTTCTTTTCTTTTCCGAGACAAAATAGTAAAAGGAACTCACATTTTGTTTTGGATTTATTTAGATTAGTTTTTTGATTTTATATTCCTACTTCGAAACGGAATAGTAGAAGGAACCTACATTTCGTTTCCACCTATATATTATTAGTACCTACGTGCTTACTTTTCTTTTTTTTCTTCTCTAGGTATACATTATTTTATTATCCCGAATAAGAAGAAGAATTTCCGAGTTTAGTCCTCGTTTAGATATAAAAACGAGTACATAGGGTTTTTTTATTGGTTCGCTTTATTTTTTTGTTTTTGAATGATGATATTTTCTTTTCATTTCCAGAACAAAATAGTGAAAGGAACTCACATTTTGTTTTGGATTTACTTAGATTAGTTTTTTGATTTTATATTCCTACTTCGAAACGGAATCGTAGAAGGAACCTACATTTCGTTTTCACCTATATATTATTAGTACCTACGCGTTTACTTTTTCTTTTTTTCTTATCTAGATATACGTTATTTTATTATTCCGAATAAGAAGAAGAATTTTCGAGTTTAGTCCTCATTTGGATACGAAAATGTGGTACGTAGGATTTTTTTTTTGGTTCGCTTTTTTTTTTTTTTTTTGAATGATGATATTTTATTTTCATTTCTGGAACAAAATAGTGAAAGAAACTCGCATTTTGTTTCGGATTTACTTAGATTAGTTTTTTGATTTTATATTCCTACTTCGAAATAGAATAGTAGAAGGAACCTACATTCTGTTTCTACCTATATCTATCAATATCTATGTACTTACTTTTCTTTTTTTTCATTTAAGATATTACTTGATTATGTCTCGGAAAGAAGACGAAGAACTTTTATTTCTTTTTTGAATTTAGTCTTTGCTTAATACAAAAGTTTAATTTAGTTTTATTTATTATATACGGTTTTAATGGCCTTTTGTATATTTTTAAAATAAATAAAAAAAATTTATCATCAATATATTTTTGATTTTATTTTTTAAGAAAAAAATTATTTCACAGTATCAATCATTATGTTAGTATAATTTACATGATAAACGATAATAATAATTAATAGTATATTTAAATTCATGTGAATCTAGATGACAAAACTTATTCATTTGATTATATCTGCGAGTAAAGGAATTTTTTGTATTTATGTAATACTGTTTATCAACAAAGTTATTAAACCGTGCTTCTTATAAAAAATCTGATTAAAAAAAAATTAGTTTTTTTAAAAACAGAACATCAAAATGCCAAATTCCAAAATGTATATAATGACATATGTATAAGCAATAGGCTGCCGATATACTAATTAATCATATCAGATATTGTAATAAAAACTAGGCATTGTACTTGGCTTTGCCGCCCAATTTTAATAACAAATCATTAATTAGCTATATCAAGTTTCATATTCAATCGAAGTTAATTTTTAAATCGGGTTTTTATTTCTTTATTAAAGATTGCAAGCGAAAGCCTAATTAGCTTTCTCTCTTTTTACCTATTTATATCGCATATTACAATACAATTGCTTAATTATGACTACAACTCGAATGCATAGTTGTTACAACTTCTAATGACTTATGCTAACGCGGTTCTGACCTTACATCACATTCACGTGATATACGTTCATTTATGAATCTCTGACACATTCATTGTATGAACCTCCGGCATGTTCGTTGTATGATACGTGCATTGGTTCTTACAATTATTTATAACTCTATTCGACCTTACAGATTTATTTTTCTGTATTTAGTGCTAATTATATTTTATTGCTTCATTTAATTAAATTAGATAATTGTTAAAATACATTCATTCAAATTTTTAAAAAAGTTTGTCACGATTGCTATTTAATGCATGTTTGAATTCTTTTTCAAGACATTGATTTTTTATCAAATTTGGTAATTGTCAAAATATCTTCGCTCAAAGTTTAAGAATTTGGGCGAAAAATATTTTGACAATTTACCTAAAAAATTTTATAAAAAATTTTATTGTATTACAAAATAAATTTTTATTTTTCTTCTACTGGAACTGATATAGTATCTAGATAATACATTCTATCGATTATTGTGGCTTTAGACAGTCACAATAAAAAATTTGAATGCACAAAAAATATATACCGGTAATCTTTTTTTAGAACCATTGATTCTCAGCAATTTATAGGGTGTTTTATTAGGAATAATAAGTTCTAATATAGCTACTAACGCTAAGAATTTTCCAAATAATAAAGTCAGGTTCACAAATTCCATTCGAGATTTAAAAAAGTTTCATAAAACCCTCCACGAGACAGATACTAATAACTAAATATAGACAAGTATAAACAAAAAAAAAAAGGTATTAAAAAAAAAAAAAAATGCTGTAAACTGCCATATAAACGACCCGGGTCTTTTTCATTTTACCAAAAAAATTAATTAGTAAAATAAAATAATTAGTTAAAAATGGAGGTGGGTCTGATATATGGGAGGTCTTGTATACGGCAGTTTACGGTACTAGTTACGTAACTTATGTATTAAAAAATTATAATAATAATTATACGTAATAAATTGTTTCTATAAAGTTACTAGAATAAGAAATAAATTTATATATCATCTTAAGTGGAATTGAAACATTGGTGTAAAATAATATCCAAAATTAGATATAATTACGAGAACTACGTGCAAGTGTAATACCACTACAAATATCTAGCATTGGACATAGAAAGTGATATCGAAAAATGTTTTACAATTACGAGTTAAAGATTTATCAATAGTACTTTCATGAGATTAATTTCGCGAACTCGAATTTATTTTTGATTTTTAACAAGTTAGTACATAAGTTCATTTGAAGTTGGAACTAAATCACAACTATTAATCAAATTGTATTACCTAAAATTAAAACCTAATTATGGCGAATTTCGCTTATCCTTGCATAACTTTACGTTTATAATGCCCAGCTGGCGGTTTCTTCAGTAGAATATAAAACATAATACTTGTTGCGACTGCCAATGAGTACCTAAATAATATTCATATGGCAATTTGTATAATAGATAGGAAGTGCAATGTATTTGCGACAAAAACATAATTTCTTGAATACTTTTTTTTACCATGTAATCGCGTATTGTAAATGTGTGTTCCTTAATTCAACACTAGGAATTTTTCCAATTGGAATACCATCTTCGATCATTTGATTAATTAAATAAGGAGATCCCTCTAATTTATATATTTCAAATAAAAAAAATAATATGTTAAATTGATAATATTTGAAATTGAATTGGGTATTAGGAAATAATACCTAAGCTTTGCTCAATCAATACTGGCTGCGCCCCTGTTCTTTCGGCCATTGTTTCTATATCGGTCCACAACCATTCATTTCGATCCGGATTATTTTTAGGTGTGAACCAGTTTTTCTATATCGTTTTATATAATTGATTTTTTTTTATGTTTCTTAAAATTTTTGTCTTTTTCAAAGGTAATATTATACCTTTTCTGATTTTTTTAATAGTCCCTCAATATTAACAATTTCTTCAGGCTATAAATCATTTTTAAAAGGTTAACAATATTTTATTAATAAATTTTTTTAAAATATACATATATACCTGGCTATTTTTTCGTGTAGATGGATTAGCTTTTTCTTTAGAAATCCATCCACGTTTTACTAACACCGTGGTACTAAAAAATATATATATATATATATTATTTTGACGTCTTGAAAATAAATCATTTATAATAAATAGATAATAAAAATAAAAATGCACCCATTTTCTCGTTCTAGCGGAGTGATAATAAAATATCCATGTTTATTATCAAAAGTTCTTGGTCCTAATAACATCTCTTGATCATGAAGAAACTTTCCAAAAGTTTTAACACGTCTAAATAAATAATCATTTAAAACTTCTAATCTACAAGTTTATATAATTTAAATTAATCTTTAATATATATATATATTAAATATATTAAATCTTTTAGTTATTAAAAAATTTATTTTTTTTAAAAAAAATAGATTATATATATATTTTTTTACTTTATTTTTTTTGGTAAAATCATTTGAGGTTTAGAAAGTCTTTCTTCATATTCTTCTATTAATCCAACTTTCCAACGTAAACGTTGAATTTGCCAAGTACCAAGACAAAATCCTGTAATAGGAAAAAGTGCTAAAAAAAATTTTTGAAAAAATTGTTTTTTATTGAAATTAGATTTTGAATATTTATTATTATTATTATTATTATTTATATTTAAAATATTAATTAAAGAATTTTTTGCATAATAATCATATATACTGTACCTCGGTTTTAAATCCGCCAAAAATGGAGTAGAATCACTAACTTTTTGAAAATCATCTAATTTTAAATCTACTCCAACAGATTTTGCAATAGCAATTAAATGTAAAACAGCATTTGTTGAACCACCTAAAATCATTGTAATAACCATAGCATTTTCGAATGCTTTTCTAGTCATAATATCTCGTGGTTTAATATCTTGTTCTAGTAGGTTACGTATTGCAAGTCCGGCATTTAAGCATTCTTCAAACTTTTCTGGATATTCTGCAGGAATTGATGAACTGTAGGGTAATGTCATTCCTAATGCTTCAATTGCAGAAGCCACTAATTTAAATAAAATCTTGAATAAGTAAAATTTATGAATAGGAAATTTAATAACAAAATAATAAACCAAAATAACTTACTAGTATTGGCAGTGTACATTCCACCACAAGCACCAGGACCGGGGCAAGCATGTTTCACTATATCAAAACGTTTTTCTTCAGAAATAGAACCGGTAATATATAAGCCATAAGACTGAAAAGCAGATATGATATCCAGGATGTCTTTTCCACATGATGATCGGCCAGGACGAATCGTACCACCGTAAACCATTAAAGAGGGACGATTAAGACGCCCCATCGCAATCAAACACCCAGGCATATTTTTATCACAGCCAGGTACGGAAATGTTAGCATCATACCATTGACCGCCCATTATCTTGAACATTGTTAATTATTGAAGAATTAACAAAATATTTTATTGATAAAGTTCTTAATATGGAAATTAAAGTAATATTAGTTACCGTCTCAATAGAATCAGCGATAAGATCCCTACTTTGAAGAGAATATCTCATTCCTGTTGTACCCATACTAATAGCATCACTTACGCCAATAGTGTTAAACCTGTAACCAATGAGACCTGCTTCTTTGACTCCCTCCTTGATTTTTTTCAGCTAGATCGAGAAGGTGCATATTACACGTATTACCCTCAAACCAACTAATTTGTATTAACATATCAAAATTTATTATCATATAAAAATGTGTATGTGTTTTTTTTTAAATATACTTACACACTAGCAATTCCAACTTGAGCTTTATTCATATCCTCAAGTTCCAAACCAGTACCATATACTAAACCCAAATAATACTTTTAGTTATTTTTTTACGAGTTTTTTTTTTTTTTTTGATGATTTACCCTTGATTTATACTTTCTTTGCGAGCGCTACATACTTACGCACAGCTTGGGCAGCACCTTGTGATTTTGGCTGTGTAATATGTTTACTATACTTATTCAATTCTTTACTAACAGAGCTACCATGTCGTAAATGTGTTGTCACAGCTCTTGTAATTTTATGTCTATGAAATCAAATACATGATATTATCATAAATTATGAATAAATCAAATAAGTTAACTTAAATGAATTTACATCTGAACTTGACCTCCAAGCTTAGACATCATTATTAAAGTATCGTCGAATCGAGCTGATTATATAAATTTATATTATTAATAATTATCAGTGAATTCATCCTAAAAATCTACGAATTTTGTGATAAAGAAATCACATTTCTCAGGATAATTATTAAGAATGAAATGATGACACTTACAGATAATAATTTAATAAAAATTGACGGGTTAGAGGTGCTTTATTTTTTTTTTTAAAAAAAAAAAGCATAGATAATTTATTACAAATAAATCTGCAT